AGAAATGTTGAACGATCGTTTGAGAGGATTCTGAGAGCAAAATTAGGTATAATAATTTCTTATGCAATTTGTTTGATGGCCTTTAATTTTGAATTCCTTGGTCTAAGTTGAGAGTGATAGAACAAATCTATGTTGGCTAATCTGATTAAGATCATTATATTGTGTGTACATATATGTATTGTTACCAATTTTGTAGTCAGATTGGTTTTAGCCTGAAATACGTTTATCAGATATAAGATATTATTAGTTATGATTTTGCATTTTGTTTTGTAGTAGAGTCAACGCTGAAATAAAGAATCTAAAACTTTATAGATAATCCGAACTTTGTACTTCAGTTGTTATCAAAATACTGTACTTCTCAAATTATTAGTAATGGAAGTTTCACTGCTTTTAGTTAGACAGAGTTTACGACTCGTTCTGTAAATTCTTTCTTACTTAACTTTCCTATATCGTATACTAGGAGCCGCTGCACGATTTGTTCGCACTGAAGGTGGGCGTGTATAATTATTTGATTTGGATTATTTGGCAGATATTAAATATTGAATTTATATTTTAATTGATAGAAATTGCCTCTGCTCTAGCTTCTAAATTTACTGTTGACTTGATGACTCGCGATGACAATCAGCTCAGTAAGTTGTTTTTTAGATAAAATTTTGATATCGATTATATGGTAAATAAGCCAATTACAAGTGTGGTAATCAATTTCATTTCAGTATTAATTGTTCATAGTTGATGGCTTAACGAAAATCGATCTAAAATGTTCTGTTTGAGCATCTTTCGCTTGCATGGGCTTTAACTTCTATTACTCTCGTCTTTACTATTATGTACGTTTTTTCGAAAATCTTTATTGTAGGTGTTTCAAAGATGCCATTCAAAAGATATTCCTAAGTGATACTAATAGGTTAGGGATGAGTTTTATAATAATACTAAAGTATTAAACATAACTTAGATTATAATCATAGTAGGCCTGAGATAATTCAACTTGACAAATTAGAAGTTGGTGATTTGCTAAGTTCTTGCTCGGCTTTTCTTATTAATAATAGAAGCACCTAGGACAAATGACTCATCGAAGAGAATAAATTCTTTCCTACTGACCAATCATAATCATTGTATCTCGTATAAATGTTACTAGATTAGTCTTTCTAGAATTCTGTAGAAGCAAATATCCATTTAAAGGAATTTAGTAGACATAGAAGGGTAGATGATACTCTAATAGTCGTTCCATTGTGCTTTAATATCGATAAACTTTAGTAGAAATATTTACGTATTGTAATTCTTGAAACAGTTAGAATAGTTCAGCCACTAGAAAGAAATCATGTTACTAGTGCACTGCAATTCTTACGTGTATCATCTAGAAGACTATGCTAAGGAGTCTTCAAACAGTAATAACCATTAACTACAATTGTTATCTTTGTTTCGGTCTAATTCTACAAAACCTACAGTAAATGAAATAAATTTTCTTCTACCACGAATTTTATCTACTTTCTTTACGTCCAAATATAAAAGTTTTGCTTCGGAGCGATTTTATTTAGCTCCATAACTACTAATAGAATAGTATGATTATGTCAGTGATTGAAATATCAGATGACATTACTGCGTAATGTATAATTTAGAAACTTGAAATTTGAGTTGCAAAAATAGAGTAATTCTCTAAAGTAACATCACCATAGAGTTCTTCTGAACATAGTACTCAACTTCGATGCCATTTTCAGTTACAATGATTTATAATTACGAGAACCATATGACCTGAAATTTATAATTGTAGAGTTATAAGCGTAATACTGTAGTTTTGTTTATAATTTTCAATAAAATAGTAGAACAATAGACGCTGGTGCAATATTGAAATTTAACTGCAATAAATTAAAGTATTTTGATTTCCTTGATGAAGACTACTGATTTCTAGGACTTATAATAGTGAACGTTTGTTATGAAGTAATTTACATTTAGAGCTTTATAATCTATCACAACTATAATACAGCTGTACCTAATCGAACAAGAGATAGACCCTATTTGGTCGTATCATACGGTCATCCATATGACCTTTATGGTTTAGTGAACATGTGCACTCATCATTTCCTTATGCGTTTGCAATCCAGCCAATTCGTACATTTAGCCAGACATTGTTGCTGATAAATTGTGTAGCATATCTGTCATCCAATTAATTGAGCTCTATGATCAGAAGCTTGTATAGCCATACCTACCGATATTATAGCATTCACAGTAGCCATAGTCACTAGTCAGTCATCATCGTATTAGCAAGCGCTTATATATCCGTGATCGTCGTGTTAGTTGGTTATCAATTTGACCATCTAGTGACTAACTAATTCAGTGACTCTAGACAATTATTCTACATCATGAAAGCTGATTCTTTGCAGTCTTTGCATTTAGCGTATAACAACAAGATTTCATTTTAACTACAGTATATATCTAGTATAAACTGCATTACGTAACGCTATCTTCAATTTGTCCGCTTTAGAAAAGTTTTATAAAAAGTTCCATATTACTAATTTGCAATACATCCATATCATTAAGTGTCGCATTCTACACTATAATTTTTTCCTTATGTTTGATAAGATCCGTATAATAAGTTACACTACATAAATAATCGGAGTCTACTTAGTATTTCGTCGATGCAATAATTTTAGGATTTCGATATCGTTATCGGATGTAGTCATATGACAGGCGCTTGACACTCTAGTTCGGTATAACATTGTTGGGTGAACTTATTTGGAGGCTACTTTAAATCACGTTCCAACTAGAAATTAGTTTATACTAATGTTAATTACTCCTAATAATATGATTCCAATTACCTTTTAATTTCCATACGCACAAACTTATATGCATTATACTATTATAATTATAATAGTATAATCTTACAATTTTGAAAGCATTGCTTAACTTCGTAACAATCAGTAAGAAAGTAAGAAATGACGCAATTAAGCCTTCATTTTCTCATTCTTCATTAATAGTCAATTAAGACTTGCTCACCATGAAAACCATGGAATTTATAAAATGTAAACAATAGGCTAAATAAATTTAGCCGTAATTTGGCTTTAATTTAAGAAATTTCTAGACTAAAGATAAAGCTAAACAGTAGGTTATATTACTACTACAGCATTATATTTGTTATCATATCGTTTTAACAAATATCCCTTCTTGCTTTGATTAGTATATTATAATTATTAACACTCTAATTTAAATATAACACAGTTATCGTAATCGGGCATTAACAGTAATTAGGTCAATTTTACAATTGAATCCGCGATATGATCCTAAGCAATAATATCACATGGTAGATAGATATATCGACTGTATATTAAGTAAACGGACATACAGTTAACGAGTAAAAATTGTTAGCTAAATTTAAAACTTACAAGGCCTCAGCGATATCAAAGAAATTACATCAAACTCACTTCGGCGGGACTCTTCCGGACTGCGTTTTTGCCGAAATTTAAATTATACCTTATATCTGAGCATCAACATGACCGTCAATTTTAGTTGATGTCAAAGCAGTATCATAAATCTACCAGTATTGGATGTCATTACTATTAATATTATGGCACAAGGGATGCTGTGCAGGAATTATATTATTGGAACTATTGGTACTACTTGAAAGAATGCAGTTTCTCCTTTGTAAAGTGCCACTTGTTGGAGTTATAGCTGATACGGATGTGCCAATCAGATCAGTGTAATTGGTAGCATGGATAGTAGCGATGTTCGTATGCACAGTTTGAGTAATTGGGGTATTTATATCCGATAATAGATAGGTTGACGAACAATTATTGTTATCATGTTGTTGCTGCATTTGTTGAGATAGTTGTGAGGTTTGATGAGAGTTACACAATATATCTTGATGAGGAGATTGCATTACATTGGTAACAATGTTACTACACTGATATCCTAGCGATTGAAGATTGCACGATATCACCGGATTTCCGTGGTTAATGTCATATGATGAACAGTAAGTATTCGAAGGATCGCTAGCATGATTGAACTCATCATTCCACGGTGGAGTCATTATATTTGCCATCATATTGCTGCCATTACTACACAAGCTACTATTACTACCATTAATGCTGCAGTTACTACTGCTACTATCATTTACTGAAGCATTGTAACTTCCAAAGTTGCTACCGTTAATGTTAATCGGAAACGAAGTATTGTAATCTAAGGGCAGTGAATTATCATAAAAATAAGATCCATTATTACTACCATACAATTCTACATTGTTGCAAATAGGTGTTATTTTGGCTTCTTTGGGCTGCTTATCGCTGGAAGATATGATGAAGCTGCTATCATCTAAACAAATGAAAATAAATTGATAGTTGATAACGACAATAATTATAAAGTCAAATTTTACTAGCAGTGAACAATTGTTTGTGAGTAATAATAAATGGTAAGAATCTTTTGACTGTAGCGTTCTGTAGTATATTTTTTTCTATACGGTACATTTTATTGCATGATCGTAAAATTCTTAAATTTTGATACGACAATTGTTTTCTATTTAGATCTATTATATCCAATCGCGAAAATTTGGCCGATATGCATACTCTCTAAGAAGCTAGCTTCAGATTATCGTTTTCATTAGAACAGCCGGTATCGTGAGTAAGTATTTATATATAGCTACACGTGCATATTACCTGATGAATGCAGGTGATCCACAGGAATACGATAGATGGGATTATCACTGTTTTCTCCGTTCCCAAAGATGCTTGTCATTTCTTTTTCAAGATGGAAAGAGTGCGCCGGTTGCAGGTGATGTTCGTGGTGTATCATTTCTCCGTTGCTTACCTCTTCCATATCTTCTTTACTAGAACTTGAGCTTGGTGTAGGGTTATAGCTGCTAAGATCAGATGCGCATGCCGGTATTTTCTTACGACTATTTTAGTGAACAGTTATACATTTTAAAATTATCAAATTGTAGCGTATATAAGTGTTTAACAGCATTTGCACTCGGTTAATATAAGTATTAGTGATCGCCTACTAATATTTACGCTTTATTAGAAAGAATTATAACGATTTTTTTCAATAAATCTATCTGTGCTGTTTTTCAAGAATTTTAATTTGTTATCATCCAAGTATTTGTGATTAACTAACCGCCTTGGGCGACGTTCACTGGTTTTACCGCATCGAAATCCTTTGGCGAAGGGGTTATACTGAATTTTTAAATCTGTAATCTGATTGTATTATCGAAAATATTACATAAATTTTAAAGCAAATATTTGATATACGGTAATATGCGGAAGTATAACGATCATAAAATGTAGAGTACGCTATTAGGGAAATTTATTAGGTTCTCTAACACAGAAATTTTTGACCATTTAATTGATAAATAACGTGCGTAAAATTCCTGTTTTACCTGTGAATTCTGATAAGCCGTCACGGCAATAAATTGGGTCTCGCTAAAGACGAAAACACTGGCTTTGCTAACGCAAGGAGAGAATTTATCTTGACCGCAAACTTGTATAATATGAATTCTCGGTTGATATTTATGCATAGAATTTAAAATGATCTATAGAACGAGAAATAAAGTAATCATTGAACGTTAATCATGTCGGTTTAATCTAATTAATTATTTATTACTTAAAATTAAAATTAGTAAAATGATTCCGTAAGAATCCTACGTGTCCGAAGGGATCCATTTGATTGTTTGTTATTTTTAATTTTTGAAATGAAATTACTTGACGCATCCATTGTGTTCCAGTGCTCGGTGAGTCAGGATGAAAGTAATAGCGATTAGGAATAGCTGGTTCTGCCTTGCCTGCGACTGTCCATTGATTGTGCTGATATTTATAGCGATTTTCATCAACAGCTATGACGTCCATTAATACTAGATACTTTGCTTTTGTATCCATTCCACTTACGCTTACTTTAATAGTTGGAAACATGCGTCTGTCCAGTATCAGTTATAATACATGAAATAGAATCAGTATCAATATTGTAAAATTAATAAAATCGCATCTTATTTTAAATCTTTGTACTATTTATTCACGAAACAGTACTCGCAGCTCTAAATGTAGTACGATATAAAATTTGCATGGCTTTTTGGGCAGATACTATATATTGTAGTTTCTATTTATTTTCACAAGATGGACACACCAAGATGCATTCATCAGTTAGATCATTGAACGTGATGTAATATAAAGTTTTTATGGGTATAAAGATACACATAAGGTAATTTTAACTTTTTCTATACGAAACGCTATAGTGAAGCTACATCCTGAACTAATTGAAAGACTAGAAAGTTGAAGAAATTAGCTTAAATAGGTTTTAAGCTGTCTTATATACAGTACAGTATGTCAACTCTTTTGCAGCTTCGTGTTAAACTTAATGGCTACGTACGAATTTGCTCAAGCTTTTCTAATTCACTATCTGTATTACTCTGCAGAGTGATTTTACGATATTGATTAATTTAGTGTACGTATAGTATGTTATAAAGGACAGCAACGTAATGCCCAAACTCGAGATGTGAAGGTATTGAACTGATAGATTTCGATGACGTATTACGGTACCACTGTGCAATACATGACCACATAGTAAAGATAAATACTAGAGTAAACCGGCAATTATATTATTTAATAATAATGTAATCGGTAAACAAAACGACGGTCAATACAGTACTGTACAGTATATAAGAATATACTGTAAGTATATTAAAATCGGTTCACTGTGTACCTTCCTTGCTTGGTAATAATCATTTCCGTTTTACACTCGTTGAATTTTTGCCACAAATCTCTACTTTCTAATGAGAGTTTGATGGCAGAATGATCACGATGTGTAGTGGTGGTCAGATTTGTACAATTCGGTCCGGTAGAAGCTACGGTCAGAGAATGGGCATCAATGTGGCCATCTTTAAAACAATTCGAATTTGATTCCGAGCGCTTTGCAGATTTCATGACCTGTTTCAGTTAAATAATGCATTAAATGTCGAAAGAAAAACTGAGAAACAGGCAAAATCGAAGATCGTAGAGAAAAACAGTAATATGAAATCGAAAATTGATAAGTGAAACGGCACAATATGTTCAGCAATGTACTCTGATACATCATGACTACCGTACGCGAAAAGCGGAGCGTCGCTTCGAACAACAATAATTTTAATATGAGGGCCCAGCTAGTATCTTATCGATAGAAACAGACTAGCAGACATTTGTTTGAATGACATCATTCACATGTTGCCTTTCATTACGTCACTGCATCATTTATTATCACACTATAATTAAAAATATACTGTAATAATTTTGTTTGCTTCAATTTGCTTAGAATGTCGTGCAAAATATTACTGTGCCATATATTTACAGTCGAAACAACTAAAATTGGTATTTTGACTTTAAATTAAAGTAATAATTTCATAAATGATGGGCTATTATAACAATAGAATGATACTGGTTTTACTTTAGTTACAAACGTAAAACATCGTATAAAACTAGTGTAAGTTGATGATATCAAATAGTTATTATCATACCATGATATTAGTAGATTAAGTAATTTTATAAAGTTATTCAAGTGAGAATATGTTGTTGCTCCATAGATGCTTACACGTACATTTATGTTATACTATGGGATTGCTGTAGGATTGACATTACTATAGATAGTTTTACTATAAGCTAAAAGAAAATTACAGGAACACAAAGTACAGCATAGCGTCGAATTAATACCGTTTCGAGAATTTGATATAGCACATATTGTATCATGATTGGTATAGCAGTCAAACAACCATAACATATACTGGAAAGTAAAGCAGCGGCTTAACAAGACAAGTATAATATTGTACATTAGCTATAATTTGATGGCATCAAGGCGTAAATGGTCATTGAGATTAGATTTAGCTTTACTGATATTGGTATATAATTAATATACGAAGTTAATCTAGAATTGGAGAATGTACGAGTATGTCGTCATTTCATTAATTCAGTAATGCCTCATCCCATATACAGTACAAACATCGGATCTATCTATATCCCAACTGTCGAAAAGAGTAAAACAGCTTTCTAGTCATATTATAATTATCCGATCGTTAATAATTTTTTCCGGTTCCAATTTCTGAAATGACTGCAGCGCTACCTTTGGCAATATGTTCACAGTAAACCCATACACTAATATTTTGATTACTCTTTTACCTTTAGCTCTTAACTATGGAACAGTCTAAAAACATACAGCAATATCAGAAACTATAGTATACCTTAATTTAGCACGCGAATATAATATAATCTTAGGCGATTGCTATATGGTATTACAATTTATGCTATCGGACAGGAGTGAAGATATCAATGGAATACTGTATAAAATTTTAATCTATCTTTAACTTAACTGTGTATGATGTAATGTAACAATAATATGCGTTTATGTTCATCCAAGACAATTCATAGAATATATTATATAACAGGTTGAAGGTCCAGTTCAAATAATTATTATAAATCGTTCTCGGTGATCTATCTATTAGACAATTGGTTAAATTTTTGACGACATTCGCATACAATCAAGTAATTATCGCTCAACTATGATTACTGCGTTTTCATTGATGCTTTGCTATTAATATTGTCACAATTGTATATTTGTAACTTAGGTTGAATTTTTTTGTCACCACTACAATTTCTTTGCTTTCATTTATTAATTCTCTGCGCTGCACGTAATCTAATTTCAATCCCTACGACCGAATTTTGCTTACCACTTCGACGGCGTTTTCTTCGATGGTGTTAGACACGATCCGACTGATCACACTTCGCCAAATGTCTAATAGTTTGTATCCGAATTTTTTGACAGGGCAAAGTCTTAATTAAAAATCATCCGTGCCATTACAACGGTAAGGTGTTATAGTACATGTTGTCTGTATTGTAAGAAAGTCTTGTAGCCAATAAGCTGTAAGATGTAAATTACGTATGTGGATATTAACACCTCTGGTATTATTCACCAGCTGAAACATGGTTTTTTTCGTTCCACAGAAGTGTCTGGCTACAGTGCCATTAAGCGAACTACGACCAATTATCTCTAGGTAGTAAGCGCATATACTGCATTGTACATACAACTGATTGAATTACAGCAGCCCAAAAACGTTCCCTGATCTTCTTACTATGTAGTGACTAGTGAAGACAAAAATCGCAGCAATGATAAATGCTGGATAAGTAGTAATAGTTTAATTTTAGAAATCTTTCGCAATAATTGCTATGTAAATTACTCCATATTAAATATCATCAATTTAGTGAACAGCTGAGCACGTATGCAGACATATTATTTCATAGGGGTGAAAGGGCAATATTCTCTATTGAGAACAAATGAAACGTAAAAATGCATTTACCATAACTTATCTACTAAAGCTTTGTGAAATTCCTTGCTAATATGGTATCTCCTCACAATAATTTAGAGTATACTGATAACTAACTCTGGTGATACAACTATTATTAGCAACAGATTATATTTTATTCTAATAATAAAGGAGTATTAAAGTAAAAGTCATCGTTATGATTGAGAGCGTTGAGCGAAATGGTAAATGCCCTTACCCTACGAACTTTAGTTTACCATAAGCTACAGTTTAATACGTAAGTTGGATAAGATGAACATTAGGTATGATCTACTTTATCATGTAAATTTATTGGTGAAACGCCTCTTTATTAATATACAGGTAATAGGATTCGAAATAAAACAGTTATTTACATTTTTATTTCATCGCATACTCATAATTTTTCAAATAATTTTTTAGTATAAAATGGTATAAATAATTCGTTAAAGAATTAATTTAATGATAAATATTCTAGCATATTGAAATTAAAACTTTTCTGATTTATTACAGAAAAGAGTAATTTTCTATTAGTATAACATAAACGTTATAATGTAGCTATGATAAACGAAAATTATGCCGACTTCTAAATGTGCCAATAATATATAATGATAAATAATAATTTACGTGCCTTTTCGTCTTTAAAATATTCACTTTGGTTATGCAGGTAAATCAATTTTTGAATCTATATTATTATCGCAGTAATCATTATAAGTACAATTCTAATATACTTTACAGTTCTTATCCTCTGGTACTAGTACTATATCTACTTTTTAAAGTCTGTTAAGCATACTAGAATCAAATGTGTTTTATACACTTATTATCACTCTGCATCTACATGTACTCTTTAGTTGCTGTACGTATATTACATATAGATATTATGTTGTTCATAATTTGCGTGCTCATTACAGGGTTCAAGAAACGAACTAACATTAAATAAATACTTTACAGTATTACCTACGGGAACAATCCCACTACTGGTAGTGTACACGTAATTTATCGTTGAGAACATTGAAATACGATATACGAGTTCGTAAGAGCACGAATTCCCGCGGTTAGAATATTACAAAGCCGGTACAACGTCACAAAAGTTTCTTCAATTAGAACACGTTCATAGGGACACTGTATTGCTTAATCTACCACGTTATTTGTATAATATGCCATTACACCATCACGAATGTTGCAGGATCATAATGATTTCTATTATGCACTATATCCGTCTGAAGCTCTGCTTTAATTAATTAATTACTATTATTGTTAACACAGCTATTTGCCTCAATATGTTTTATTAGTATATACGTGTATATACAGTACGCATACACTGCATAATGTACATATAGACATAATATACGCATATATATATATTTTTACCGTAAATAGACATACATGTACAGATACGTATTATATCATATTATAATTCTGCTTGTACATATTGATACAACATAATGGTACAACATAGTCATTAATTTCAAGTAAAACAATAATTATAGTCATGCGGTAATTTCTATAACAGGTACCATTATGTAGAAAATGTGTTTAATTAACAGGATCTACGTAGCACATACAGTGCCATATAATTACACACCTTCAATTTTTGTAATTCTTACATTATACGATTCATTCATTACTGCAAAGAGCACAGTCTAGAGAATGTTTTACATAATTGCAGCAGCCATTGTAATAAAGGATACAACAGTACAGTATAGCAAAACCGATGGACAGCAAGTATAGTTCATAACTTCATTTTATCACTTCTACGATATCACTGCTGTTTCAGTATTGAAATATTACCGATAGAGCCTTACTAGTTGTCATAATCTGCGAACGTAGTTTTTGCATTACAGTCGAAGCAAATGAAATGAGGTCGAGAACAGTACACAAAATATTAAACGTCTATGAGATCAATCGTTACTAGTAAAGCAACATGAAAGATGTATATAATCGAAATAATTGCATGTAACGCAACTTCTAAAGATGAATTACAATAGCTAATTTAGGCGTAAGTTGCTTAAATTAAAAATAAGTAGACTGTATAAAGGGCGATTGATACTGCGCCTTGTACTGCAAAATAGTATAAGGTGACAGAAGCGATCTTTCCGAATGATTGAAAATTGTACTTTAAATGCTACTATACATTTCTATTATACATTATCGATCGAAAGTCACATAGTAGTTACTTAATTTTAACAGTGGCCGCTCCATAAGGACGTTGAAAGCTATAGTGAAAACGTCACTACTATACTATACACCAACGACACGAGTGTGAACCAGTTAATGTAACCAAAATTTGAACTACTTTCTTGAGTACGGAATTTTCTCGATTTTAACTTACATTACAGTGCTATTGGATTACTATGGCAGTAATAGTATTATCCTTCCAGTTTCTCTACATCATTTACCACGAAGAGGCGTGAGTGGCGACAAGTAAATTTAATATCTACTAAATTGACGTCGTTTTCAATACGGGTGATACTTTCTTTCGTGCCTATGGTTACTCGGCTTTTCTACTAGCTCTCTCTTGACGCTTTTGATAGATTTTGGATCATCTTGGTATTCTTTACTAATTTTTATTCTTGCAGAGTTTGTTTCACCTTTAGTTACTTCTGCACATGTCGTAACGTCACAAGCATCATCTAAATTTTTTGAGGCATTGACAAAAATTAGTACATTAATATCTCAACATCATATCAGAATAAAGGAAATATGCATTACCTTTATACGATACATTTTCAAGCGAGCTTTCTTTGCAGGTACTAGATTCAATTAAGTTGTCTTCATCACTACCCTCTTCTTCATCTTTCCTAAAGTAGAAAAGATATATTAAAAATCTATTCTGCTATGAAAGGATATGTTAACACGCATAAGTTATCGTTTATATGATATACAGTACGTATAGTAGTACAGCGATAAAGACGAGTGCCAACCTTGTATGGTTATGATCAGAAGTTTTAGAACCTGTGGTTCCCGAATCTCGGAAACCCTTGGCGAAGGGGTTGTTGTAGATTTTTAAATGGGTTATCTAATTATAGTGAGAAGGGTAAATACGGAAAACAATCATCATTTACTACCACAAGCGATGATTAGATCAAAGAAAATCGCAAATAAGCGAAACATATGTATATAGTGTATTCGTAAGGGCAGTTTATAGTACCTTCTCATTTTGGTAGGCTGTTACTGCAATGAATTCAGTTTCTTTGAAGACAAACGTTTTCATGGTGTTATGAGGGTACTGAAACAAATCGTTGGCATGAATAATATGAATCCTCGGTTGGTATTTATGCATGGAGTTAAGGATAGTCTGAAAAAGTAAATGAAAGGCAACTGAGTTCGATATCGCTGTATAGGACATCATACGATATCTAGGAACTACTATAAAAGCTATAAAAATAGTTAATTAGTTAATAAGTAGATCTAAGAATTGCAAACGTACATATCCATGCTTGTCGTCCGCATTGTTCGTTAGTTTAATCTTATGAAAAGAAATCGGTTTCTGCATCCACTGATAACCTGTAGATGGTGAGTCTGGGTGAATGTACATCCTTGGGACAATTTCTGTATCTGCTTTTCCTCCAACCGTCCAGGCACAATTATGAAATTTGTATCTGTAGTCATCAGCCGGAACAATATCCATCATCATGATATACTTTTCTCGGCTGTCTAGTCCGGTAACGTTGACCTTTATTACTGGAAACATTCGCCTGTAAATAACATTTACGGTAAGAAATGATCGACTTCGTACGTATTTAGTATTGATTAAATTGCATTTTTATAAATAAATTTTTTAAACGTAATGTTTACTCTAAGCATGGAAGATCGTACTGCCATTGAAAAAATTCTTAATTAACTCTTAAATTTAATATTTGACTCTTACGACGTTTAAATGTACTGTACTATACAGTACTGCACGGTCAGGCCAAAACATGACGTTACAGCATAGTTTCCGATTATGTAAAGTACAGTACTGTATTAAAGCAATCTTGCTGCAGTAACACATTACAGTATTTTAATTCACATTTTTGGCATTTTACTGCTGAATATAATACTGTACAAGTACTGTACTGTACAGTAGGCCCAGCCATAATAACCCCGATTACTCAGATACTCAGCGTAAATAGCTTAAACGATGATACATTACTGTACAGTCATTGCAGCAATAAAAAGTTGGCTTCGCTGCAGCATCGTACGGCAGGGTAAGTCTTTGTGCAATACTGTAGCATACAGCACTGTAACTGTCCGCGTATTTTATCGTCCACTACACCGTAGTACAAGCACTATTAATATTGCATAGTGCACTGTACCGAATGGTAAGCTTATTTACGATCTACTGATGATCTTAATCTGAATAGTGATTCACTGTTTGGTATTAATAAAGTAATAAACTATGTACGCCATTAATGCGTCAAAGTTCCGCTTGTCAATCAAATGGTAATAAATTATTCACCATTGTATATAAAATTGTAGACAGACATTACCAATGACAATAATTTCGGTGTTTTGTATTGTCGTCATCCTTAACAACAACAAAATCAATGAATGGTAATGGCTGTGACAAAACATGTATGCGAACAAAAAAGAAGTAAATAGGAAACAGCTTCAAATAAAAATGCTGTTTCACAACTCATAAGGCAATAAATAAGATTGACATCTGGAGAAACAATAAAAATATCTACTTATTATCCTTATGTGCAATTTTAACTCAATTTAGCTCACAACACAGTACTGTGCTATTTTAGCAAGTGAGAAGGAATCAAATGACTGAGTACTCGCGGCTAGCTCTATAAGCTGTAAGTACCATAAATCGGTCACGAAATCTTAATAATTTAGTCAGTTTGATCTATATGGTAAGTACGTACAGGGCTAATTGTAGTAACTTTTTTCACGACCTTTGTACAGTACAGCCAGCGGTCACTGTAACCTTAGCATTAAGGTCAGCTGCAAGATACCTTACTATACATACTGTACTGTACAGTACTGTACTTGGCATACTGTATAGTATACGGTAATTTACTGGTCGCTTGGAAAATGAAGATAATGCAACGACGGCAGAGCTAATAATAATTACAATAATATTGTCGTTATTTCGTTGTGAATGATTCATTCAGGAATTTCATTGTGCTGACGCCACTGCTTGTAATATTGCTTGTTATTATTATTGGTCAATAAACAACATATTGAAGAAGGTATGATGAAATCATTTTGACACAATAGGATTATAACACAACAACTTTGTTTGTTCTATCGACTTTTCAAAGGACACCCTACTAAGAAAATGACTGGAAAGCGACTATGTGTCGAGTCAGGCAAGATTATTAATTTGAGTCGAAATAACAACCGTAGGCTACTTCTCTAACATAATAACAAAAAAGGATTAGATAAAAATTTATTGCCACAATCACTAAAACGATAAAAGATGTATATAAAATATATTTTAGGATACTGCATATACTGTACAGTACAAACAGTAGAAAGAAAATAACGATGAAATCAGATCTGAATATTAGTGGTCTGTTGTACAGTAGTTTGAAACTGTAAAATGTGTGTGATTCAAATACTGTAGTAAATTTATATACCGTATTAGTTTTCTCAGGTGAATCGCTGTGGCTTAATAAGGTACAGTACTCACGATGTACAGTATTTGATCATACTGTAGTTATTGATCCGGTCAGATTAGAAGTACACATTTCGTGCGTTCATTTCATTTTAATTAAGCAGTAGATTAGATAAAAATTTGGGAAATCAGATCTAAATTCTGAGATTGCAATAGTACAGTATTTCGTATATTGATACTACAGTACCGACTATAGCCAATAAATACTACTTAAAATTGTACGTTCTTATCCGGGAAATACTGGTTATTACTGTGTCAAACTAAAATCGATAAACATATCGCACTGTACTCGTATGTACAGTAGATTAAGTACAGTACTGTGTACAGTATCATTTAGTAAAATTACAGGTATAAACTTCAGGGTACAGTACTGTAGTTAAACCTCTAGATTTCAATCTAACGCTAACTACATTATAGTGGCATTTTGACTGCCTATACTGTACCGTAGCACAGATACTGTAGTCATTCTGTAGTCTACAGTATAATAGTTATAAATAATTACCATAACACACTCAAGTTCATCCTAGAAAAATATCTTATCTTAAAATGCTGTAACATAAACATTAATGACAGTTTTGCCTTTTATCCTCGAACGAGTGGGTATTTGAATATTGAAATTAAGGTTACGCTACACCTTAAGTGAAGTAGCGTGATAAATAAGAAGTAACTTTTTGTTAGGTGTAAACCTAAAATACACGCAAATTTTCCAGGATACCAATTTCGAAAAAGTAATCACTTATAATTATCTGAAAAGGCAGGAGCAAGTAGAGAATACTGTACTGTACAGAATGAATAAAGATTTTTTAATGAGTGTGCACTGCCGTTCATACGCGTATATCGTATCTACCGTCTCAATAGGCATAAATCAGCCTTCCCGCTACATACTATACAGTACTGTGCCTTAATCATGTACTATACGGTACGAATATATTACAATCCATATTGTCCGAATAATTTCTACGGACTTTAGTCTATTATACTTCTTCTTACCTTCCCGATCTCGTTATGACCATTTCAGTACCCAAGTTATGAAACTTGTCCCATAAATCTTTGTTTTCAAGCGTTACTTTGATATCTTCGTTTCCTTTCGATTTAGCGTCGCAATTAATTGTTGAAGGTGGTGGTGGCAAATACGTCGGGAAAGGAATGGAGTATGGTGATGGTCCAGCCTGTGAAGATGGCATCACGTATCCTTTATATTGATTGTAACCGATTGGATAATTGCTATAATATGGCAGCGCGTTATGAAAAGCGCCCGAAGCCGTTGGATTTGCGTAATTTGGGTAGGAACTCGGAGCGGGTTGAGGGGCTGTAATATATGGTGGATGTGCTAATAGAGCATTAACCGAGAAATCTCTCATGTTAGAGTTAGCGCCAGTAGCAAATGGGTGATACTGGAAAGTTTGTAAGTTCGGCGGTGTAGTGTAAGACGGCAGCATACTTGATCAACGTGAGTACTGTAAATGTGAAATCAGCAAGATATAAAGAATCCAAATGGATAATGATCAGCTAAGAGAATTATTGTAGAATTCACTGAAAAATTTTTTCGAATCCGTCAGAAGAGTTGTGAATATTAGGTTCTCAGGTTAATTATACGTATGTGAGATCTAGTAGTTAGATCTCAACTAGCGGTGGTCTGATGCCGTTTTCTTTGACAATTATGTCTGTTGCGGATAGAGGATACGGGTAAAAAGCCTTCTTTATCTGTTGATAAATTTATGTAGTGAAAAATGTTAACGAATTGAGTTATACGAGTACTAAATTGACGTTCTAAACATTTTAAAAATACCGTATAAGGTGAATTTATCAACTAATTATTACACTATGTAGCGTTATCCAGTACATATCCATTTAAGGTTAGCCTATGAGCCTTTTTCGACAATTTTAGTACTTGAGAATGGCAGTAAAGTTAACACCCTAATAACACTGCCATTTTGAAAAAGGTGATACCGTAGTGTTCAGCTTTTAACATTACCTTTTTTCAGCCACAGATTGGAAAGGCCGTGAACGCGAAATGTTTAATTTTCGTCGTCTTTGTAGGTAGTTTCTTTCTGTCGTCTAAAATTATGCACCTTTGAATTTATACCTGGTACTTGTAAAAAAAAACAGCGTATTGTACACGATAAATTTTCCCTTCAGTTGTTAGCTTTCAGTTCAGTGATCCTTTTAGTACTGTATGATGTGGAAGTGAGCAAAACTCGGTCACCGGCCAACTGTAATATAGCGTCAGTTGTACCGTACAAACAATTTTAAGTATTAATGAAAAATTGAGGAGGTTCCTAATGCCGTTTCTATTGATAGTTATTCTCAGCAACTAGCCAGTTAAACGATAATAATGGTGACATATGGGGTGTAAAGTAATAGCTCTTAACATATTTTGCTATTGATGAGGTGTCATCGCTTTGTAATGCCCTCGACACTTCTCGCTTTATACTACTGTAAACAATAAATAGGAACCAATCAACCGTACATATCTTCTGAATTAGATGACATGTAAAGTTATTTACTAATACTGTATGTAGCTGTCATTCAGAACAAAAAGAAGAATGATAGGCCAAGAGAAGAAAAAGAAAAATAGACTCATCGATGTTTTTGCAGTATGTTTCTATTGTTTTTCTTCATTTTTAATTCGTTAGTATCGTCTCTTTCTACAATTCGCATTCAAATAGCTTTGTATAGAAATTGTATACAGTGATATTGTTGTTATACATTATGCTTCGGAATTACAAAGGTACAGAACAGTACGTCATTGTGCGATTCTGTATTATGTTATTTGACAATGTTGTCAATTATCGTCGTCACTCATCACTAGTCATCTAGTCATCAGTCGTCATTCATCAATCATCACTTCATCCATTGCTTCTTACTCTTCCTGGCACTGAATGGACAATATGGAGATTCATGGTGATTTAAAATAATACCGGTAATATGATTTATGTTACATTGGACCATCTTTTAATTTACGCGTATATTTTAATGAAGAGACTGAATTTTTAGCTAACCCGAAAATCAGGTGAAGGTGCAAACTAAAGTAGATATATTAGGGTGAAATGAATACGTTTGCGACGAAAGAGGTGATAAAAGTAGGATGTCAAGATTAAGAATCTGGGAGGAGGGAAATTGAAAGAAATAACTAAATCTACACTTTACAGTATTATTTTATTTTACGGCGACAGTTTTATAATAATGTACAGTACTGTACAGTGTGCTGCACAGCATACTGTAGATGTTGACTAGAAGAAATTACAAGTATTCGATCGAAAGCCAATCTAAACCGTCTGTATGACAAATTAATTATACAAAAAATAAGCATAAAGTATTTTTTGCTTTTCTAAAGTTTATTTTTAAACTTGCGTTATTCTTTTAGTTAATTCTCGTCATATACTATTATCTCTCTTTTTATACAGTAATCAGGTTTAAGTAAATAAATACGCAGAGTAACCATAAAAATTGCACTCAAGCAAATAAAGAACATGAACAATCTCATTACTGTAATACAGCATACATACTGTACACTGTACTGCACTGTACTGTACTGTACAGTATACAATAGTACTTTTTCATCAAGATAGAGGAGTCATGTTCACGACTTGATGTTGACAAATGAAAAGTCTTTGACACAATACGGTACTGTACAGTGTACAGTACAGTACAGTGAAAGGTCATTCTGCTGTACTGTACAGTACAGTACAATGTGCTGTGTTACTACTGCACTGTACGGTACAGTACAGTACAGTATTGTACAGTACTGTGTACAGTCATGGTAATAAATTACTGTATTAGATGAGTACATAGTAATATCATAACATAACTGTACTGTATGTAAGTGGAATCAACACTAAAGATGAGATTATGAATTTACAAATTAGCGAGAAAAAATAAGATAACAACCTTCCCCTTCTTTATATTTTTGTTTGTATTCTGTATGTTTCACTAGATGTTCCTATTCTTCTGTTTTTATTGGTGATGATGTTACATAAAAAACAAGGTAGCAATTGTTATTCAACGTTGTAGTCATACGCGTAAATAGTTGGTGAACAAAAGCAGGCGGTACTTTTTCGATGTTAATTGCAAATAGATAAAATGAAGTGGGCGTCGGTAATACTGTTCAAGGTGGGTTGTTGTTTGTTCCTTAGATAAGACATAATATATGAACAACAAGTTTTTGTACGATGCGTCGTATCATTTTAAAACACTTACGGGAATGATTACCGGATTACTAGATACGGCGCCGAGATGACGCAGTCCTGGTTACGTAATAATGGACAGTGATTTGTTGGCAATAATTAACGTTCATTTATTTAACAATCTACTGTACTACTGTAGTCTGTACTGTAGCATTCGCAATCAATGTTTTGTTGGTATAATACTGCAAATTTTAATCTGTTGTACTGTACGCTGTACTATACAGTGTAGTGTACTGTACAGTACAGTACAGTACTATTTTTGGCACTGCTCATAAACAAATTTACGGATTATTTTTCTAAGTTTTATGGTGCAATTGTGAATAGAAAGGAATAAAATACTAAAATACAAGTATTTTCCTGTTATTGGTGGGCTGCATGCTGAACGTATCGGGAAAACTCTCTATCTAGGATATCATACCTAATTCTTATTAATTAATTTCAGTTGCTAAAAACGATCCGTGTAGCTGAATATTCATCAAATCTAATCTACACTACAGTACAGTACTGTACATTCAGCCTCCATCTCTGACTCTCTCTTTCACTACAGTATACTGTACTTTACTGTACTGTACGTACAGTACTGTACACTTTGCATGCTCAGGTGCAAATACTGTACTGTACAGTATTTCACATCTTATTACTGTACACGTAAGATGAAAGTACTGTATTGGCGTTGATTGTGTTATCACTATTTCATTTAACTTAACTTAATATATACTGCATATTAAAAAAAAGTTATTCTAATTTTGTGGCTGTATCGAATCACACAGTAATCAGCTGGATTAATAATAAATAAAATTCTTTTTGTTCAATCCTTATATCAATCTTACAGTACAGTCTCTCCGCCATGCCGATGCCGGTACATTTCAGTACAGTACCTATAAATAAATAATAATAATAAAAGGGTGTAACATCGGTACGTACTGCACATACAGTACAGTACCGAACAAAGAAGACCAAAAGATACCTTTAATAATGCTTTAGTATGGGGATAAAATAATTATGATGATTATAGATCACGTCAATCATTGAAATTGATCACTCAATTACCGTCATGTTCAGTAATTATGCAAATCTCTCAAAGCTGTTCTTACAGATTCAACGCCAATTATTGAAAAAAATAATCTATATATAGCTTTGAAATAATACTTTATAAAGTTGCTTTGAAAATGATTTTGTTGCCTAAAAATACATGTATTTTTGTCTACATTTCAATACTACAATCAGTTTCAGATGATTTATTCGCATCAAATATTTATTACTTATTCTTAAACAAATACCTATTGTATAGTATAAACATATCAAGGTAAATGAATAAAATTTTGCGAACTATATACAGTATTATGAAAATTGACGATAGTATCTTTAGGGTCATTATATAATTATTATTAGACAAGCAATCGTTATTTATCCCTCAAGTATATCGTACGTTACGCCAGATATTGAGCTATCTACTAATTTTTATTCCTTCATAGCGTACAAAAGTTTTTATTGATGTTTACTGCTCCAAAGTTATATGTTGTGAGAAACAGTGGAACCGGGATCTAATACTATATTTTCTATTAAAGAAAAACAGAGTATTATTCAAAACTAATCAGCAATAAATATTGTCCTTTTATTCTAGTATCATTGACAATCTTGATTATTGTTACCTTCCTTATAGATTAATGTCTCTTGAAGCTCGGTTTTATTTATGCAATTGATTACATAATAACCGCTTTCGTTGGATTTCTAGGAATTGTTACCCTACAAATTCATTCCTGATAGATTATTTATTTATGATCAAATTAGTAATAGAATCTTTTAAAAAAATAATATATTCTCCTAGTGAGGGCAATGGAGTGAGTCACAACATATTTTTGTCTCTTATTCTTGTCCTAGAATAATTATTTTCCGTGAAATTTTCACTTTCATCTTATGAAAACATCTACTTTCTAATAATTAACTCCCCCACTTTTGAACATTACATCCAATTTTCCTACTTATATGTCTCTAACGCTATTTTGAATGGATTGTAAATATATAATTTACAAATTATCTTAGCTAAGAAAACGTACTATTTCGTGTCGAGACGTTACGACCACATTAATATCGGACTGGAGTGTGCGTAACACTAGGTTAAGGACCGTAGGAAGAAAAATAGTAAATCTGTATTCGAGAAAGGGTAATATGGGGAATGCACTAATAAATAATACTACTGCCATTATTAATACGAGGATATATTATCACATATATCTTTCAATACTGTACAT